ATGATGTAATTACTAACAAAGCTAATTTATACAATGAGATTATTTGTATTGAAATATTTTTAAATGAGTTATCACAAAATATAAATAAATGTTTCAATGTGTTTTATGTAAGGCCCTTACGATTTTCTTCTGCGTTAATTTTTTCCTCAGACCTTATTAAAGATTCAAACACAAAATTATCGGACAATTTTTTCTCCATCAAGGCCATAAAAATGCCTTATACGAGAGCTTATCTGAACATTTTTTGTACACTCAGGGAGCCTTAAAGTCTGACATGTGACGGGCGGCGTAAGCGGTTTACATGCAAATTAATCTGCAAGCTGGAGCCTTGTTAACTATAACAAGAGAGATATTGGGTTAGTAATCACGTAATATTAATCTTATCGAGTTTAAAGTGGCAGAACATCAAACTTACCCTTACGTACCTTGTAATCATTTGTACTTCAATAATTAAATCACAGAATGCCATTTCTAAGTTTACCTATTTACTATTCTTTTGTTACACAGAATTTTGGCTTAACAATAGGCTAGTTGACGCAATTTGAAAACTTGGTTAATTATATACTTTAATATCTATTTTATCCCAAAAAACCTATATTTTAAAGAAAAAACAATATTTACATTACGTATTTTGTATTTAAAAAAAAATATTATTTCCGTTGAAAACGCTGAATAGTGTCATTTCGTCTTGAATAACGTCACAGTCTGCGAAACAAAACTGTTTACATCTGTGTCCAGTGTAAACTGAACTGTATAAAGGTGAGAAAATATGCTAAAAACGAAAAACAATAAGGAGTAACCTGCTCTGTTGTATGAAAACGTCAAAAACAACAATGATGTTTTGCGTGGCGTAACGTAACACTTTTTAATTGGTGTTCGCTGTCACGTGACTTAATGCCTATTTTGTTCGAAAATATTAATAATCTTTAACTTTAATGAAAAATACACAGGTTTTTTTCTTATCTATTTCTCTTCATTTATAATTTGAAACTATAAACCAAGAAATATGTTATTAGTGGACACAAGCCTATTCTTTCTTAAAACTTCTACTTTGGTTTGTGAATTCAATCGAGTGCCGTTAAGTTTGTAGGTAAGATTATTCGGAACATGTAAACGGGTCACCTGATACCAAGTGAATACCGCCGTTTGTGTACACCTGCAACTTAAGAGATATAGGCGCCGTGTAACACCGTTTTTTGTGAGGCCGTTTTATCACTCCGATTGAGCTAGTTGTGACGAATCCTGGCCCTCTCACGGTAATGTTGCACACTGCAGTCTCTTTTCCTTTATCTATCTAAGAGTAGGTATCTAAGTCAATCTAGAGATAGGTAATTAGCACCTTCACTGAACTTTTTTCATTAAAGCAACTCCAGCACTTTGAATAAATTCTGTGTCGCGGGGGACTTTACAAACATACATTAAACGGACACGAAGGACACCCAGACTGCGAACAACAATGTGTGGATCACACAAAGTGTTGTCCCATGTGGGGATCGAACCCACAACACCCAGTGTGCGGCGAAGTGACCGCTTAAACCACTACGCCATCCCTGCAGTCGATAATTGTATCGGATAAAGTCGTTTCTTTTTTCTTGTAAATAATTAGATTAGTAAACAGGTGTTTACGGTTAGCATAACATTAATCGTTTATCTGTAGTGTCAACTATACGTTAACAAGCCTTTGGCGATACTTACAGTATTCAACATTAATAAACGTTGCTATGGTAGAGGTGTACCAAAACCGACAAGCTCAATTTAATGACAATAATATTTTCAGACATCTGACACACAATTACCACTAGCTTCAAACTAAGCAGAGCTTGTACTATGAAAGCTGGATTGACTGATAGAATACTTATATACTTTTTTTTGTAAATACATAACACATATTATACATGAAAAACAGCCATACTCCGAAACAATTATTTACAGATTACGCAAACATTTGGTCCGACCTGGGAATCGAACTCGAAATCTCAGCACAGCAGTTGTATACGATACCACTGTATCGAGGCAGTCAGATATCGAATTGGGTCACAAATATCGGATCTGTTTTCACTTTTTAAAGTTGGCAGCCTTTGTCCCAAAATCTAACTAATGTCACGCTCTAATAGAACTCTCGGTAACGCCTACAAACTTAATTGCTAGTTGTATAGTGATATAAATAGCTTACTGGGTTCGACACCTTAGCCTCTTAACTGAAAATCTTAATTATAAAGGAATGGATCACATACTTAAGAGAACAGACAAGTTAATATTATTGCGCCATAGGATTAACTGGTTGTATGGAATGTGAAGGACAGCGCCATCTAGTATCGACTCAAGTGCATCTATCAAGATACTATATGGCTACACTAGATGGCGCTGCAAGTAACGCGTGACTGATTCTGGAATATTTGTGTTTGTTTCAGGAGAATTAAGGAATAGTTAATATTACTGATGGGTATAGTAAATATTACCTGGTAAAGATATATCGTGCAGAAAATAAATTCAACTATAAAGTTTAATAAGTTATAGGTTATTCTAAACTTGCACTTTAGTTCTAAAAAGTTTCTTCTCATTTTACCTCTTTAATTTACTGTCTTAGTTTTGCGGTACCATTTATTTACCAAGACAATATTTATTTGTTAAGATACTGCAGTATATTGATTATTTCAGCAAAATAAAATAATCTCACAATTAATAAACTTGCAAATTTAATTAGTGTAAGTAATACACAAACGTCGCCAGGCACGTTGCCGCAGTAGGCTACTAATCAGTCACTTGATAGATGTTCATTGAAGTTGGTAATAGGCCGATTAGGCCCTTAACGCTTTATTGACGACGTCCCAATAAATCCTTAAACTGTTTTAGGCCTTTGTTGAGGAACTGGAGAAAATTTGGTGCCCTGAAAATAGGGTTACTTCTTATACGTATATTGAGTAAAATAATTGAATTTAACAACTTCTTAAAATCTGCAGTCATTACCTCGTGTTCTTAAAATTGTCGTTTTAAGCGTACTATGTGTCATAATAAAACAAATCGTTGCTTGAAAGAGGAATCAATAAGTACTTGAATATATTTATATTGCAAATGTTTATTACTCACGTAGTTCGTGTGTTGACGGATTAAGAATACAGAGTGTCACCACCCCTATTCATCGCGTGGGTGTCGTAAGAGGCGACTAAGGGAGCAAACTACGCAGGACAACAGCACTGCAGAGAGAAGGAAAACTTGACACAAACCCTATACCAACCCGCCTGGCCAGCGTGGTATATTAGGCCAAAACCTCCTTTCTAAGGAGAGGCCTATGTCCAGCAGTGGACTAGTAAAGGCTGTTGATGATGGTTATGATTACTCATATAATATGCACCTTAATCAACGACACAAAAACTAAGTTTCTTGGAACGAATCCACCTTTAGCCAGGTAGACTCTTTCTGTTTAGCTAATGCATTGAGTTTGATGTAAACCATATTTCAACGCTTAAATGCGATTAGCTTTGCTGATGCTATTCATTATTCTTTAAGAAGGAGCTGGAATATATGTTTCAACACCAAGTGCTGGTAAAAATAAATAGCAATAGTTAAATTTCAGGTCACAACGCTAATACCCGACTATGTGTTTTGATATTTATGTATTTACTAGCTGACCCGCGCAACTTCGTCTGCGTCTCTCAATAGTAATAAATTTTCTCCGTTTTCGAAACATTCTTCATTGGTGCTCCGCTCCTATTGGTCTTAGCGTGATGATATATAGCCTATAGCCTTCCTCGAGAAATGGGCTATCTAACACTGAAAGAATTTTTCAAATCGGACCCGTAGTTCCTGAGATTAGCGCGTTCAAACAAACAAACAAACAAGCTCTTCAGCTTTATAATATTAGGATAGATAAAGTCAAATTCTCAGTTTCCTCTTGCACCTACCGCATCATTTTTCTACATCACCCGAAGGTCGACTGGCAGAGAATGCCCTTGGCATTAAGTTCGCCTGTGTACAACTTGTGCATTAAGTTAAATAAATAAAAAAATAAAAATTAGTAAAACCATAAAAAGTTTCCAAGTAGGTATATAAAAAATTCAAATACTGGTCAAACAAAGCCAGCTTAGAGTTGTGTCGTATCAAAAGCTCATTAGGCGAATGAAAATAAACGAACAATGTAGGTAACACACCGCCGGTGAGATTAGCTGCAACAGACGCCAACATTTACATAATATATTACAAAGTTTACCTCGAAACTTTTCGTGCCTAACTTCTAATTCAATTACCTGTAAATTAGAGGGCAAATGCTATATAATATGGAAACGGTGAATGAATTATGGTTATTTGATAGTTTTGGTATGATACTTTCAATGCTTTCCATTTGATTCCCGCTGGTATGCTTTCGGATTTTAATTAGACATGTTTCCTGTTTCCATTTTTGTTAACACTATGCATGTTGTGTTTGCTTAAATTGGTTAACCATTAGCCAATTGTAGCACAAGTAATTTATTATTATTAAGAATAGAATAAAGAAGAATAAATATTATTAAGTACCAATGTTACGACTGGAAGCACACCATAAATCTCATATATAAAATTCTCGTGTTCGTTCCCGTACTCCTCCGAAACGGCTTGACCGATTCTCATGAAATTTTGTGTGCACATCGGGTAGGTCTGAGAAACGGCCAACATCTATTTTTCATACCGCTAAATGGTAAGGGTGACTAATCCCTAATTTATTTTTGTTTTGCAATACAACGTTTGCCGGGTCAGCTAGTATGGTATAGATGTTATTTTTTTAATTTAACGATACATTAAAAACAAAACCATTGGTTCTCTAAATCAAAAACGAGGAGTTTTTTTTTAAGATTCAGTACGGAGAAAAAAAAATTAGTTACTACTAGGCGTGTTATTGAAAGATAAACTTGTTGTTCTGAGTCTGGTTGTTCTTTGTGTCTGTTTCATGTATGTTTGTAAAGTCCCCCGCGAAACAGGATATATTCGTAATGCGGGAGTTGTCATTTTTTTATTTTTTTATTTACTCATTCCTGCTTTTAACATCGTTCGGGAACCAGATAATGCTACTTCGTATTATCTTATTATCCAAGTAACCAATCTCTGAGTGAGGCATTGAGAGACATGACAGGTGCATCTGAAAAGAATAAAAATGATCTTATTGAAAAGAAACATTATATAAAAATACTGGTAGTTGAAATTAGGAAAAAAATCATTTAGTGTTTCGTAATTTGTTATCTTTCAATAACCAGCTTGGACTGTCATAGTTTAGACTTTATTTTATTTATTTATTTAAATCTTTTTGCACTAGCAACAATTCATTGTACTAACAATGACTATACTGTACTGTAATTATGACTTAATGTCATAGGCATTTTCTCCCAGTCTGCCTTTGGGTAGTGAAGAAATAGCTGAGTGGGTGCATTAGAAATTAAGTTTTATTTATTTTAGTTTTATTGCTTTACCATGATAGCACTGTTTTCATAATTTTGAAATTATTCAAATTAATTTTAAAATTTAGGTTCCTGCATTTCTTTAATAGATAAACTTTAAGTAACACAAACACGTACCTATTAATTTTAACATTAATTATAATTAATTAGGTACGTCATGTACAATGTAAACATTTTACATACAGTGGCGGTTTTACCTTATGGCAAACGAGGCACGTGTGGGGAGCGGTCACCAATCTATGTTCTAAAGGGAAATCTATTAAACAAATGACTAATTCTTAATATAAGTGGAAATAATAAATATGTAGTGTAAATATTTGTCAAATTGTATAATCACAACGAAAATGGGTGTTATACTATATTAAGTGTTTTCATTAGTTCATCTCAGAAGTGATGTTTTTTTTTATAATTTACGTAGCAGCCATTTTCCTTTGCCCGAGGCGCTAAATTTAAAAATACATTATCATTATCATGTGTGGTCATGCAGATAGCTCATAAGGTGTCTCTATACCTAAAAAAATCAATTAAATCTTAATATTATGTAACATGAAACACTTATTAAAAGTTTAAGCGTCCTCTAGTTGAATCTTCTCATATTTGTTGTAGTCACAGGCAGTAAAATGAGTTGTAACGTATTTGGTGATGTTGGCGCTACTCGCCGTTAGATGTCCGATACAAAATTATCGTTTTGCCTTGACGCTATTAGCCAACAGAGGGCGGTGCAAAATTCGAGGACAATAATTGTTAAATCTCAATATCACAAAAATTGATATTCTTTTATAGTTATTATGCCAGAGTTTTTTTATTCAACAGTATGTATAATCGCAGACGTATTTACTAACAGTTAGTTGGTTTTATTTATTCTGTATTATTATAATACGATACTTATAATGCTATACTCTAATTTAACCTAATTTATTTAATTTATTATTACGAATACTTTTAGGAACCTAGTACGTTTCTCAATGTGCAAAAATACGTCTATTATTAAAGAAACTACAGAATTAGTAAACTAAACTGAAAGTCACTAATAATTAGTTTACTCCTGTCAAATAACTTTTCGTATTCTACAAAACGTTGCACTTGAGAACAAAAAATTTAGCACCATCAACATCATCTGTTGTTTGTAACTATCGCATGACAATTCCTAGAAACGTTTATATTATAAGAAAACTGTTAAGGTAACCGTGATTTTAAGATTTTGCGAAAAATTATGAAGTTATCTATTTCTAATGTTTGTATGTATCTACTACCAGTTAAAAATAATGCTTGGAATGTAATGGCTCTGAGCCATAAGGCCATTGTTTGTGCATTATTTTTTCTGTACATTCAAACCATAGTAAAAACACTTGTGAACAAAAAAGTAACATTTATCTACCTAAAGACACTATTGAAGTATTAATAACTTTTAAGTTATATTCCTTAGTCTAGGAGGTTCAATAAAACAGAGACCAGGTGGATTCTATAGTACCACAGAATTGGCTTAGATAACAGTTTGTAAAAAAATTAAACATGTAAGTAAAAATCCGTGTGGTGACGGATTAGGAATACAGTGTCACCACCCCTATTCACCTCGTGGGTGGTTAAGGGATTAAACTACGCAGGACAACAGCACTGGAAAGAGAAGGAAAACTTGAAACAAACTCTATACCAACCCGTCTGGTATATTAGGCCAAAACCTCCTTTCTAAGGAGAGGAGTATGTCCAACAGTGGACTATTAAAGGCTGTGTGCAGTAGAGATGAAGTAAAAGTTACTCACTGTACTGAACTCACTCAATTTTTCGGACATGAAGTTAAAAAAACGTTTTTTTACCCGTATAATCCTTATTTATGACGATTCTTTATGATTTCCATAAACTACCTCCAAACTTCACATTACAGGGAGACACTGTACTTCAACAGATTCACGTATCTAAGCCCCATATTTTTGTTCCAAGACTCAAACAAATCATACATACCAAGAATCATATTGCATTTCTTCCTAAACAGCATTAATTATAAGAAAAGTTTGCAATAAAAATAAACCACTTAAACAAAATAATTTAATAAAAGTTTTAACAATACATATGTACACTTACATTATTGAGATCAGTAGGAATTCACCTAAAACTTAACATTAGTTTTACACAAGGTAACATTGCGTGACCAGTATAAAACATTTATACATTACTACTACAGTACTTATAATAAAATTATCCTAATAAGCTTTTGTTACAATTAAAAAAGTGGCAAAACAAATGCATCATAGATACGCAAGTACATAGTACATTCGAGAATCTAAACTGGAATTTCTAAATGTGACAGTTCCAAATGTCACTTTACAGAGATTGTCAGAATCTAATTTGAAGTTATTATTAGTGTCAGGTCTTCTTATTCCATTTCCTATTCGATCTTGAACGTCAGAATTAACAGTCAATTCATATCCTGCTCCAAAGCCTTCTGGGTTGGTTCCGGAAATAATGTGGTAATCAGTCGACACTGTAAAAAATAATTTAGCGTGACGTAACTCATGGGTCAAAATTACAATCGCACACACTTTTTAATACTAGATATTAACTCCCTTTCTATTATATTCTTTTTAAAAATAGATTCATGAATAACTTAATAATATAGTTAACTGAGTATAAACATAAATTTCATCCAATTTTACAATTTCATAATTTGCCTTACAGTGACAACAGTAAACAATAATGTTAAAGACAAGGGCAGAATAAAGTTTTTTGGGTTTCCATATGAAGTAACAAAGAACTAAATGCAAATCATCACTGCATGTCAATTCGATTTTTATGTGTCAAAATCAAACCATGTGCGACTGTCGTGAGATTATTGTCCTCACAAGCTAGATAAAAATTGATTAGTAAAGAAAACTACTTACAATAAATTAAAATTGAAGCATATTCAAGATCCATAAAGAAACAGATGGTATCAGGTCTAAAGATTTGCTTTAACTCTTCAGGATTTGTGATGTCCAGTACCATTTTTCTGAAAAACTCCTTCCCATTATTTGATACTAAGTCCCATATGGAAATCTGAAACTAAATAAATTGCGCTATGAGCTTACCTCTTTACTTTTACAATAAGGAGGTTTATAATAAATAAAAAAAAGTATAGGAAAACATATTTTTCAAATATATAAAAGAACGAAAACCTGAATAAACTCACCTTACGCAGATTCCATATTAAGAAATACATGAATATTTCACAGAAACCAGAGACTCTGGAACCCCTGCTTCTTGTACAAAGTGGGTTTTTCAGATTTGTGTAGACTTGTTTTTTCAGTTCAAAAGTGCAGAAGATAAAGATGTTACTTCTGTAGGATGATATTAAGTTTTCGCGATCAGTATTAGTGTATTCAAACCTTCCAATAAACCTGAAACATGAATTAAAATTGGTTCCTGGATACTTATTGATTTAAAACGGAACTTTATACCCTCAGAACTTTTAACAAACAGATTTTATTTTCATTTTATAATCATGCTCACACTCTTAAATTAAACACACACAACAGAAAGCTATTGTATTAGAAATTAACTGCTTGGCTCTCAGATCTAACTTACGATGACACTGAAAAGATGCTTGTTGTCTTAGCATAGACATTGGATACATCATGATATCCTACACCACACATACACACGCACACATCCACACAACCACGCACGCTAAGACACATTCACAAACACTACATACACGAACGCACATATGAACAAATAAAATGAAAAGATATACATATTTATATAGGTACATCGTATACTATCTAATAGTTCGACCACAACTAATTTTTGAAAGCGCTGATACAATCCTAACAGAAATGTAAACAATTAAAGAACCTGATGTCCTGAAACACAGGCTGTGAGCTTAGCTTAGGCACCAGTCTACCACACTATAAAATTTAGTAATAATTCTTGTGCAAGCTATAATTATGTAAAAATGTACTGTGGCGAGAAAATAAACAATTTATTATTATTATAAAGGTTTTTGGACAATATTTATGCTCTGCTGTAAGTGTATTGTAAGTTTCTAGAATTTATTTATTTTTCTACCTTTCCTCTGGATAATTCTTATATAATTTAGTTTCCACTAAATGCTCCAAGACTAGGCACTGCTCGCTAGCCATGTTGCCGACCGATGGCTCTTTCTCTACTCCATATTTGCTGAAGATGGAGTAGATCTGACGAAGATAGAACACGACTGCAGCGACTACTCCCACAATACAGGCGGAAAGTATTACCATGATCTGCAAATGAAGTATCTTTGTTAAAAATAAATTCTGAACTGTAAATACATACGCCGTTTGTTTATTGCAATAGGAAGCAAACAAGGAGATATTCGTGTTGCTGGCCTTTGAATTGGGTTTAAGTGCTTTTATTGAAGAATTAATAGTGGTATCAAAATGCCCATAGCGTTTAAATACCGATACTACTTTAATTTTTTCAAACTTGGTTTTGAACTTCAACAAAAACAAAACAAACAAACATTGATGGTTATGTAATACATCCCAAAATACAAAATATAGAAAATACAGAATGAAGCTACATTACTACGGCTTGAGACTCAAACCGATCTGAAATTGCGACGACCGAAGATACAAGTCGCTCTTAATTTTTTTTCAAAACACTTCTCTGAACCCAAACTGGGCGAAGCCTGTACTATGTTGACCAGACTGCTGATAAACATACTTAAATATTTCGAAATACATACACATTGTAGATGAATTACTCTCAATCGCAGAACAAATCATCATGCTCATTACACAAACATTTGTTCTGGGCGGGGATCGAACCCACGACTGGCTTGGCAGTCTCTAACCACTAGACCAATGGGCCTGTCATGGAATGCGATCTAGAAGGATAACCTGATATTGTACCATGCACTTGGTATGTACAAACATATATAGAATGTATGTCAGCCCTTTTTTTTTTGTTGACGGAAGAGCCAGGAGTATGTGGTGTCTCCACTAAAAATCACCCCGACGGCTGGACTCAGGCCAGACTCTCCATGTTTTTTCAGCCCCCCCCCCCCCCCGGATCAACGCCGCGCCCAGTAAAGATGTATGTCAGTCCTAAAACTGTCTGTTTTTTTACTTACCATATTTTTTTTCACTTTCAATTCACTAATTAATACCACCAATATTATTATTTAATGACTCATTAACTTAAAGAAAGCAGAAACACTGTACTCAGGAGGACAATATAATTACAACTGAAAATAAAAGGATAATTTCATCTTATATATATGAGTTGTTAGGGCCAATCCGGTACACGTCACGAGTTACGCATGAAAACCTCACCGGTCATTGTATGTTAAACGTCAGCACCTGGCTTGAACCTAAAAATTATTATTTTAAAAAAGTCACAACGAAATACGTTTAGGGGTCACGACTAAATCTTCTTTATTAACTATATTTCATTAGCTTTCATGATTTGGAAGGAAAAGAAAATGGACATCTGACACATAATGCCATCCGGTTTTAAACTAAGCAGAGCTTGTACTATGAAAGTTAGATTGACTAATAGAATACTTATATACTACTTTTGTTGTAAATACATACATATTATACATGGGAAACACCCAAACTCCAAAACGATATTTCCACATCAAGCAAACATTTGGTCTGACCCAGGAATCGATCCCGAGACCTCAGTACAGCAATCGCATACGCTACCACTGCAACACCGAGCCAGTTAAAAATATACAGTTGAATTGGGAACCTCTTCATTTTTTAAGTCGATTAAAAACGTCTTCTTTTTGGTTTCCCGACTCTGAGCTGATAGAAGTAATAAAGACTGCCATTATCTAACATGTAGGAACTTTAAACGAAGAGATCGTTTCAGGAGCTTTCAGTATTATCTTGGATATTACCCATTCAAGTAATAGCTAATGTCGACGACGACGTGTCGACGTCAATACAAATTCTAATAGCTCCTACAGATAGTTTTAAAACGTCACTTTAACACGTGTCGGGTAATTTATGACTTTTCCTTAATTAAAATTGTCTTATGCCATGTGCTGCAGTGAATAAATTGCTAATACGTAATCCAACAGGACGTTTTATTTATATAATAATGATGACTCAGGACCAGGACAAATGGTTAACACATGAATAACTGAATGCAATGTTACAAAATATGTCGACGCTTGAAAGGTCAAAAGGGACGAGTGTCAATTTTCGTGAAATTTGTGTTTTTTTTTTGTTTTTTTATTTGACAACTCAAGGAATAAATTCTGTGTTGTGTCTGACTTTATAAACATACAAGAAATTTACACAAATGACACCCAGGACTCAGAACAAAAATTTGTGAATCACACAAAGTGTCGTAATAGTAAGCGGCGTGGCGACCGCTTAAACCACTACGACATCCGTGCAGTCAAAATTGTACCTTACATTGTCTTGACCTTGAGTAAAATTGACGTCCACGTGTATTAGTAAGTCCAATAGATCATTGGAAAACGTCACAATGAGGAAGAAAGGGAAATTTCTCACTTTTCCTATTAAAATACTTATACGTCGTCAATCACAACGAATGCTTTGATGACGTATAATTTTTTAATACATTTAAATGTATGTATTACACGCAATTATCGGATTTGATTACATAATCTAACAGGAATATTCCTGTTATTTATTATTAAACCGATAATTTCGTGTCTCACCACGCGTTAATTGTATTTAAACTTTAACTTAATTGTAGATATTTTTTCTTTTGATTTTTGATTTAAGACGAATATTTTCAAATAGGTAAATTTCAGATTCGCATTCGTGTCTACTTTACGTCGATAAATATAAAAAGAAATAATTACATCGTTGGCGTAGCATGGTTATAGGTTTTAGTCATCAACAATAACCGTAATTTATGAATAAAATAAATAAGAAGTATTTTAGTAACATTTATAACTTGTTATTATTTTAAATATATTGTTAATAATGTTATTAATGTTTATAATTAATAACATTTATTTTTTTACGGGCCTGTTGGTCTAGTGGTTAGTGACCCTGTCTACTAAGCCGGAGGTCGTGGGTTCGATTCCCACCCAGGACAAATATTGTGTGATGAGCACGGTGATTTGTTCTGTGTCTGGGTGTAATTTATCTATAATATGTGTGTAATGTTCTTAGTGGGTAAAGAATTCAATTCCCGAGAGGCAGTACAAAATGCCTTTGAAGAGTTTGTTGCCTCCCGTCCAGCTGATTTTTACAAGAAGGGCGTCAATAAACTGCCAATGCGTTGGTAAAGATGCGTCGTTTGCATGGGTGATTACTTCGAATAACAGAAATAAAAAAGTTTGAAAAAATAAGTACTTTCGTACTTTCACTTATTGCATACAAAACGGCAATTTCATAGGTAAAGACCTATTATTTAAAAATATATAAGTATGTTTATCAGCAGTCTGGTTACCATAATACAGGCTCTGCCTAGTTTGGGATCAGACTGCGGTGTGTAAGATGTGTGAAGTTGTTATTATTATTATTATTTATTATTAAATGTATTTTAAAGCCATGTAACTATCGTGTAATTTCCAAACTCTAAGGCTTTCTCCCAAACTAGCTTAGGGTTGTCTTTAAGTCTACCACGATACGGCTGAACTTCGATTTTTGGAGCGACTACCATCAGTTCTAAGAAAACCCAAGTACTAAGCGATATCGAAGTTCTGCAGGACTCTAACTAGCCGGCTCCTAAACCGGCTCGGCGGCTTAACGTGCTCTCCGAGCCACGGAGGGGTCTCAATGTGTTAAGAATGGTCACCCATTCATAGACTGACCTATATACGAGTATTTAATAACATAGCAACTAATAACTTTCAAGTAATGTAACAGCTGTGACGTACGCGTTCATGATTGTGACTAATGCTGAAAGGGAGTTTGAGGACGTCACAACGTCGTCGACGTCTTTTCCTTAGACAAAGTCTTCTGTATCAGTGAACTGCAACTTTTACAGCTACCGAACAAAGTAGCGGAGGTCCAATATATTACGTCACTTAGTATCCAATTTGTTATCAAACGATTTGCACGTTTAAATGTTATTTTAGTACATTAAAAGAATTTAAGATAATTTGTTCGTTTCATCAAAATAAAATTTACAACTCTTTCGCTGTATTACTGTTAATCACGTGTCATCAGATTATTGCATCTTCATTTCATTTAGTTGCATCTATGTATTTGTCATTATATGTATTGTTGCACATTCATTAACTATTATGTATTAACAGGTACTAGATCAGAAGTGATTGAATTCCTGCTCATGCAGATCATTGCCACTATCGAGTAGTATGTAATGTGTGTCTGACGCCTACTGTTCAATAGACATGATTTTCTGTTTTGAAAAGTCTTGCTTTTCTCAATCATTTTAAATAACACTAAGTAAATTAGAAATTGGTAAAAACTTAAGAAGATCTGCATTCATGTTCATCTTTGATTAGTAATAAGTTATATATTTAATAATTCTGTAATTCCTTTGAACCTTTTTTCTGAAGGTGTGTCGTTTAGACGTACGTTTTCCTATTGAGATAGGAGTTGACCTCGGCCATGACATTACATAAATAGTGTAAATATACAAAATTAACTGTATTTTATTGAATGTTGAGGATCCTTCAAAAGTAAATTAGCCATTTAATCACAAAGTGTTCATGGTTATGTAACAGTAGCAACATAAGAATTGTAATTGCCATTGACACTAACACTTTCCGTAGATAGCTTTATAACGCATTAATGTAACGATTGTTGAATAAACTTTGTAGCCATACAAAACGAACGTATTTGGTGACAATTAAAACATAAGTAAGCATGCCACATGATCGCACATCTATGTGCAATAATATTAAAAAGATTTTGTGAAATATACCCCCATTGTCATCCAGATATTAGTATACTCAATATTATGTAAAACTCTATGTAAATTGTTTCATATTCAATAAATATTAGTTATTGCAACATCATCATATTGTGTAATATTATTTTACACAATATTTTTAAGAAAAATAATGTGGTGTCATTATTTTTGTCATTTTGAAGGCTTCTGAATAGAAGAACATTAAAAATACAGTCTCTGTCGACTGGTTACCTTGCCAAGGTAATAAGGTCAGTGCTCAGTAGGCATTAAGTGTTAAAATCGGCGAATTTTTCTTAGGATCTTCTTGAATTAAGCGAATTATAGCTATATCGTCTCCGTAGACTAATTATCATGCCACACTGATGATGTTATGTGATGATACTATATTGTGTGATGAGAATATTATATATTGATCGTATGAAAGGTCCGTTATGGTTATGGCTCAATGATTCATTTAATTTGATCACTGTGTGTCACAAACATGCAAATTATTAAGTTTTTTTATTTATTTTTTATCTATATTATATATATTCAGAATCATGTAATAATGTGGAATTTTGTCCTGTAATTTCCCTCAACCACTGAGGTGTTTGAGCATGGGTCATTTCTGATTTAAAGTAGTGGACGCTTACAGTTATGAGCAGAGCTTACATTTAACTAAAAAGAATAAATGTTGCTGATATTAATAAAGTCCTTCCTTCAAATTTAATACTTCTTTTTTCTCTATCTAATTAACGCGAATCGACAGAATTCTTGGAAAGCTGAGCAGAGGAACTGGCTTACCTCTGAAAATAGTATGATCTCTAAACTAATTTGTTTCAAAGAATGAATATTCTCTGTGTTATTTAGGTAATAATAACGCCGTACTAACTCTGTAACAGCAACTAAAAACTGTCAACGTAATGACACCCTTACCTACACCTATAATAATGACTAATTCTGAAAGATTTCAAAACGTCACAAGAATTGTATAACCGTAAATGGTAATGTCTGTATTTTCCTCAGTCAAGGCTCTTTTGTGTCTTCGAACTTCACGACCTCACAAGCAACCGATGTTAAGCTAATCTTTCTTGTTCATTTACTTTAAGTATTTGATAATGTATAAACATTATAGAATGCGAAAATTTACAGTCTGAGATCAGGCAATTTCTGACCACGATTAATTCAAGCTGGTCTATAAAATATATGATTATAATAATGTAAGATCGTGTTGACATACAGAGGTTTATAAAACGACTTTCATCAACAGCCTTTAATAGACCACTGGTGAACATAGGCCTCTCCATAGAAAGGAAGGAATAAAACGACTTTGATATATAATAAAACCAAAAAAATAATTGCATATATTAATTTATTTCAAAGCTACGCAAACTAATACAGAAGATCAGGGAGATTTCTCCAAAAGCTACGAGTGACTCTAATGATTCACATACATCAATATTAATACTTGTAAAGACTTACGATTTACATAAAAATTTAAACATTTTAATAATAAACAACATAAAACAAGATATTCTAAGTACACAAACGTTTTCGAAACTACCTGAGAACTGTTTGACATTTAATATGTACGAGTAAGTGAACACAGTACATGTGACAATCTGAAATAACTCTTCATTTTTTCTCAAAACTGTGCTACACTTTGTCAGTTCAGCCATCTTGTTCCCAATGTTTCAGTTACTGCAGTTTCAAGATTTCAAGTATGAGCTCTTAATCTAAACCTTAATGTGTGTCCACCTTCCAACTTGAGGCTTAGAGAGCTGGGACACAGCTTGGCAGGGATACAAGTTGTCTCCGTTGGTAATATTTCCATATTTAACAGAATCTGGTAAGTAATCGCTTTCATCTCGCACAG